TAAATCAATTGTTTAATAGTTTTATAGACCATATTATCGCCACACTTCAGATCTGCAAAATAGGTCGCGAATCCGCTCGCAAGTTCGTCCAACGCAATTCTTAGAAGAGCGAGTCTTAGAAAACTGAAATTACATGTTTTATTAAATAACTACTGAAATTACAAATTATTACTACCGAAATATCGAAAATATTTTGTTATATAGAAAATAAGATTTAAAGAAAACATTTTCGATAGGTTCAGCCTTATATTACTTTTTATTTATAAACGACTTAAATTCATCCAATATTACATTAGGAAAGATAACTAAGGAAGATAAATGTCAATGGAACAAAAGATAAATATTGTACTCTCATGAGAAATAAACAACAATTGTAAATTTCTCACCTTTCGCATGGTTGGTTGAAGTTTTGATTCGGTGGCAGATCGTTGGGTTGAAGTTGGTGTCGCAGTTTCATTTCCTTTCGTAGAAAGGATGCACTGACCATTGGCTTTGACATATTCCTCACTCATACAAGTACATTTTTGGAAGCAAACTTCAGTGCCATTCTTTTTAAGCAATTTACCGATTTTAGTAAATATCATATTGGTTCCGCAAATTTTACCAGTCAGTGAACACGGAACATTGAAAATTTCTTCATCAAGTGCACACACTCTTCCCGCGCAGTGTTTAGGCAATATTTCACGACCAAACTGAAAAATTGTCAAAACCGAACCTCTTTTGCATTTTTTAACTGTTGAAATATTTTGTTTATAATGTACTTCTATCTAGATTGTAAGACAGTAATAATACTTTTATAATAATTGTGATTTTTCTTTTAAGTCTCCTCATCATTACTGATTGAACTCGCTCAGCTAGCTTGTCGAGTTGGGCAATATTCCAGAGAGCCCCTTGGCGACAGATGAGTCGCCGGCATCACTCTAGGATTTTTGTAAAGGTTCTGCAGGGAATCGAACATCAGCATCGGCGCTCCAAACTGAGCAATAACCCACTAAGCCATTCTACCCCCTATACATAATTATTGAATAATTAATTATTCTAAATAATCAAAATCAGCAGTGAATAAGAAGGACCTCAGGTTCGTTTCGCATCGAAACACTATTTTTTTTAACGCATTGTCCATCTATTTTCGTGTATTCATTATTGTCGCAAGTGCACTGTTGAATACAAATCTTATATGATAATATACCAAATTTTATGCGTACAGGGTCATTTACGATCTTAAAGACCATATTTGGTCCACATTTCTGGGCTGTTAATGAGCACATAATATCGGTGATTTTTTCGTCAAGTGTACAGGTTCTTCCGTTGCAAGCCTTTGTTGTTGGCACTTCAAAAGGAAGCTGAAAATTAACCGAAATAACTTTGGATTAAAACTTGCATACATTCACTAATAAATTTTTGTGAATATTTTTAAACCAACCAACCAACGTTAATTTAACCAACGTCAATTTTGCGACTATTGTCAAATCGCATTAAATCTATAATTTTTAAGGAATGGGTATTTTCACTTTTTCGATATTTATATTGGGCATAATTTGGACTCTTATTTTAAAACTAGCAAGCTGCCGATTTCTCCTCTCCAATTCTCAGGCTTTGCCTTCATTTCAACCTTTTATATTTAAGAAAAAATAAAACAAATTCAAGAGGGATGAACAACGAATGCTGGGAGTGTATGCGTATTTCTAGCATGGTCGCCCAGTTGATAAACTATAAGGAGCAAAAATCTATATTAAGCAGCAGCGATGTAGATGGTGAAGACAGATTTGTGGAAATGGCAAAAGCAACATATTGTGCTGGAGAAGGCAATTATAAGCTACTTTTTAAATGGATGTAGGTTCTGCGTTAGATGATAGCATTCCACTGAAGAAGAGCCACTGAAGGCGAGCTGGTGACCATTCAGAGAAGCTAGCGATATTAATGCCGCGGCTAGATTAAAGCCATCGAGAATGCAGTTAGTCAAACAGGGAAAATAAATAAGGTTGTAAAGAGAGATTTATAGTGGGTGATGGATGGAACTTTAAAAACCTAAATTTAGGAAAGTTACAAATTGGCAATGAATTAAAGTAAAATTCAAATATTCGCATCATTTACTACTAATGGATATAAAAAAGAAGGAATGCCATTATAAGTAGAAAAAGTATAAGAACAATTCAAGTTCAATTCGAAATCGACAGAACAAATACGATGCAATTGCTTGCGATTGTCGAAATAGGAAAGGAAAAAAAGAAGAGGTTTTCATCAAAGTACCATATTAATTATTATGATTACCTTCAAACAACCAAACCCAGGCCTCTGCACATATTGCTATTGTGACTTTATTCTATACCATATCGGTCCCACACATCTTACCAGTTAGTGAACATGGAATATCGGAAATTTCTTCATCAAGTGAACAGGTTTCTTCCCCCGCAGTGCTGGGTTTAGGCAAAATTTTAACTTAGAGCTAAAGACTGACTGTTTTTTCATTATCATTCAACCTTTGGAACTTTTCGCTACGAGAATTACTGCATTCCGCTTTATCAATATGAACTTTTAAACTTATCACATAATAATTTTATAATAATTGTTAGTTAAAATTTTAAAAATCAAGAAAATTCTCCTGTATTTTAATATATTTTGGCAAAAATTCAATGTAAATGAGACCTCAGCTTCGTTTCGTTTCGTAATATTGTTTTTTTCAATGCACTGTCCATTTTTTCTTTCATACTGTTCATTGATGCATGTGCATTCCACAATGCATATCACTTTAGGTGATACATCGTCAGCATATTTCACTTCGTCGATAACTCTGTAGACCATATTATTACCACATTTGCGACCCTTTTGTATGCAAAGTGGGTCGTAAATTTGCTCGTATGATTGCCCAACACAACATAAAAGAGCCTAAATAGGCGACGAAAATTAAAATTGCTAAATCGTGAAAATGCCTGAGGGTGAAGAGGATTAACAGAAATATTTCTTGGTTTTTGACAAAATTTGAATAACCAAAAGTTTCGTTTACTAAATAATAAATCGGCAAAACATGTTAGTCCTTCCTTCGCAATATTGTTATACATTATTAAGAATGTTAAGAAAAAAATTTTACCAGAGTAACAGCGGCAATAATCATAGGGAATAAATGAGAATAACTGAAAACTGTTGCTGTTGTGCTAGAATTATTGATACTACCAGTTAATATTCCATTTTTATATTGAATTTTAATTAATTCCACCCAGAAATTGATCAAATTGACTATTATTTGGAAAATTTTTATGCATATTTTTCAAAATTTTCATATTTAAAAATGAGAATTGGCATCATAAAACACTCCAATCTTGATTTTCACATAAATGCGAATTAAAATTTTATTTATTTTGTAAATTTTAAAAATGAACTCAAAATTCTACAAAAATCAGAGAGAATTGGAAACTAAAAGATGGATTAAATTATTTTCATCATTATAATCCAAATTTTTAAGCGGGAAATCTTTTTTTTCAATAAAATGAACAAAATTTTTATTTTTGTAAAATATTCGCGATTTACCATTTTGCTGTTTTCTATTGTATTAATTTATTGTATTTTTGTATATATTTTATTTATATATTTTGTATATATATTGTATTGCATATATTATATTATATTATATTATATTATATTATATTATAT